TCGATACATTTCTTGAGAAATACTCCCCCCCCCCCCCCCCCGAAAAAAAATAAATACGAACGCATGTATTGTTTATTTTATTTCTTTACTTCTGAGGTGCTAGGTAAGGAGGTGCTTTGACGTTGTTACCATGCCGACCAAGGTTCCCTCCGATTCTCCGAACTATTTTTTTTATCTGTCCTTTTCTCTCTTCTGAGAAGTGTTGCGTAGTTGGGGACTCAAACCAGGGGGCGTGCCAGGAGTGGAGTGAGAGCACCTTCTGCCGCAGGTCCTTAGGTAGGGATTTCTTGAGTCATTGTTTGCTGGCATCCAATGCCCGCGGCTAACCGCCTCTCTTTCCTTAGCGTACACAGTACACCCAACCGGCAAAGCTGAGTCACAGTTCGTTGCAGCACGAGCCTGGCGATGGTTGACTGGAAATAGATAGGATGACTCACGCAGTGAAGTTCAACACATATTCGAAGGTGTCTGCGGCTGCGCCCGTAATATTGCACGGCTCAATGGTACGTCATCAGCCGACGTGAACGTGAGCCGCTGCTCTGGCGATCCGAAACCAAGAAAGGAGGCCAGACGTGGCCTCGCTGTGCCGACCCAGGCTTCGTACACCAGTGACTCGTCTCGAGCGCGCTGTTTCTCGAAGGGCTCGCACCTGTGCCGGCAATATCAGACCGCAATCCACGAAGCCTCTGTTTGGATGATGCTAGGTGAAACTTGAGGACTGCAATCCATGCGTCGGTGGCGGAGGGTCGGCAGGAAGGACCTTCACAACAGGGATGCCACCGTATCGTTTTTTCAGCCGTAACAAAAGATAAGGCATGTGTTCCAAAATGTTTCAGGTGGTTCACTATATCTCGAAAATTCCAAATGCGCCTGCATGATCTTCAATGAGATAACCTACACCGAAAGTACGTATTGTCCTTTCATACAGCAACGTGGTAAAGTTTTATGGTCAAGGCCACACCTACAGATCAAGAATACCAGTTCATTCCACCGTGACATCATGTGAGCAATGTTGACAGGGGCGTCCTTATTGGACAGGGGCGTTGTGACGTTTTGATGGGATTTAGGATTACATATAATTTATTTAGAGGTCGAAGTCTTTTCGCATCCCTCGTCAGACAGTCGGGATGTCAGGGAAGGGACCGCAGACAGTCCTTGATGAAATGTTTTTTTTAAGCCCATTGAAGACTTTTCGTCGTCTGAAACCACTACCTTCAAGGCAAAGTTCCACGCCTACGGGAAGTAATTTCGGGATCGAAACTTCCACTTCCAACTTCAAGCTTGTGGGGATTGTGATCCCTCAACATTCTGTCGCGTCAGCGTTTTGGCGCGCCGTGGCGGCCGCGCTGGCGTAGCGAGAGGTGGCGCTGCTTACCACTGTGAGTGGCTTCCTCCTCTCCCCCTTTGGGGCGATTTCCGTAACGAACCCCCGCACAAAGGAGATCGACGTGTCGCTCCTTGATTGGCCACTTCGGCCCCGCCGTTATCTTAAAACCAGCGGACAACAGTATCGCTTGTCTCTCAGTCTTCCTGGGATTCGGCTGCGGCGACAACGGGGACCCGTCCGGCGCACCGGTGAGCGTTTACCCCGTCCTTTGTACCTTTGTGAACGACCGTTCGGCCGTGGGCGATCTCCACACCGACGGCGTTCACCAGCTTATAGCCTCTGTTTTCTTGTTGTTTTTTTCATTGTAAATAAACAGTTTATCACCGTTACCAACGCGACTGGTTTGTTTGCGCTCAACGAGCAGCATGCCACGCGCGTACGAACCCGCTTCGCGGTAGAGCGTCTCGCCGCGAACGTGGTACTCCCAAAGGCAGTGGCCCAAAGGAGAACCACAAGCTTCATCTCAATTGGCGTCTCAAACAAATTCGAAAAATGTATTGCAGTATCAGTATTTCTGTATCTGTATTTCTGCCCTCCCTAAAATGTATTCCTGTATTTGTATTTACAAATACATTTTGCCTCTATTTAAAATGTATTTCCGATACGTATCGCGATACATTTTTTCAGATATATTTCAGTATCAGTATTTTAGCTACTAGTTTAATGTATCCCAGTATTTGTATTGCCAAATACATTTTTGAGTATTTCTGCCCAACCCTGGTACAGTGTACCGAAAAGGTGGTCTACTCCTTCCCTCTATCTTGTGGACGAGAATACATAGGACAGACCGGACGGTGCGTCAACGATCGCCTTCGTGAGCACAACTGCACTATCACCAACAAAAACTCCGGACACCTAGGAATACACTGCCGAGACTGTGGCTGCACAGCGCAGCTGGAGAAATGCACAGTGTTAGGCAGGAACTATGACAAGCTGACAAGAGAAATCATGGAAGCAGAGAACATTGCCAGGCAAAAGGAGAGATGCGTCAGCACTCCTTCCATAATGTTATCCAACAAAGAATTAGAGTACTTAGCCATACAATAATTTTATGGTTTAGCTTCCTATTACAAAAACACAGGAAAAAGAAGGAAGAAGAAAAGAGAAAAGGGCAATTCTATGCCATAGAAACCCTAGTCCCAAAGAAAGACAAAAACGACAATTGTAAATATAACGTAGAGTTGTCAGTCAGCGCTGTGTAAGTGTGGCTCTTTTTTTGTGTGCATGAAAGCTTAGAGTGCTTGTTTTGAGGGTGCGCAGTTTCCTTGTAAGTCCTGGGTGACGCCGTGGTGCCGAATTTTCGATGTTTCCTAAAGAGGAAGACGCGGGGCATAGGTTGGAGTGCTGCGACGACGTTTGGCCGGTGCTCGGGCCCTCACCTTTTTTTAGATTTTAGAATTTTAAATTTTAAATTTTTGGATTTTAGGATTTGTGGACTTTAGGATTTTTGGAGTTTTGGATTTTTGGACTTTAGGGCTTTAGGATTTTTGGACTTTCGAGCTTTAGGATTTTTGGACTTTTGGATTTGTGGGCTTTTGGGCTTTAGGATTATTGGGCTTTTGAGCTTTAGGACTCTTGGACTTTTGGGCTTTAGGGTTTTTCGATTTTTGGGCTTTTGGATTTTTGGGCTTTTGGGCTTTAGGATTTTTGGGCTTTTGGATTTTTGAAATTTAGGATTTTTTGATTTTATGTATTTTATTTTGCATGCTTTACACCCTAGAGTTTTCTGCAAGCTTCTTCACATCGCAAAACTGTCGAAGTCCTTCAACGGAAACGTTTTTCGACTGCAAGTTTTTTTTTTCGCTCCGTTCCATCTTAGAGGCCGACGGCTGCAGGTTCTGAGAGGCAGAAGATCCTTCTTACCATGGGGGAGGAGGAAACGGGCAACGGTGGACAGGGTAGAAGGGGAGAGGAGGAAGCGAGAGAAAGTGGAAAGCGCGAGCTGGTTGTCGGTCCTTAAAGTGGATCACAGCAGGTGCTACGAGCCATCGGACAAAATCCAGTGTTGGATGATTTGGGATGGCTCGTAGCGTGCACTGCAATCCATCGCAGGTGGAACGAAGTGTAGAGTACGAGCTCGTCACTTGTACTGCGTTTGTCTTCGTCAAGTTCTGTAGTTTCTGCAAGCGCTTTTTTCCGTTGTCTTGGATCCCAGAGGAAGTTTTCGCCACTTCCGGGCTCGTTTCTGTCAATGTGTTTATTTAATTCATATTTTGTTTTTTATGGGTAGCATTGCTTTTAACGGAAAGCTAAACCTATGGTGCCGGTTTTCAATGCCATGCTTCACCCCAGCATGTACTTCAGTCTACTTTAACCGTGCATGGACCTACTACATCAAGTTGCTTATATACTATTATCAGTTTCCAAAGTATCTAGTATTTTTAGTTGTTCAATCAAAGTGTTTTTCGGGGCACGTTTTTCGAAAGTTTGTGGTATGTAACCCTCGCAAATTATTCGACGCTCTCGAACCGTCACCCTTTATTTTTACTGTAAAATTCGCAATTAAAAACGTTTGCTCATTCGTGCCTCGGCTTTGTCCTTCTTTGCGGCCGACTTGCTCTGCCTCATGACTGTCCCGGTGTTTGCTGCGTTAAATTGGTTCTCAACTGTCGTACCAAGGTCTGTGCCAAAGTACTTACCCCTCTACATTGCGTTTCATTTCGCCAAAAAAAGTGATACAGCTAGGATTACGTGGAATGAAAAATCGCGATGCTAAACCCGGGAATCGTGGGTTCAAACCCTACTCCTGCCCGTTTTCATTTGGATGGAAATGGTACCGGCGTGTGGATGCCCGTTGCAGCTAACTGACTTCCTGCTGTTTAAACGTGCAAAACTTTTTTTTAATGAGAAATATATATATATATATATATATATATATATATATATATATATATATATATATATATATATATATATATATATATTAATCGTAATACTAATTCCTCGTTCGCGACTTGTCAGGCATCTTCCTTTCATATTACGGTAAGCCAGTCCGAATCTTTCCAGAGCTCGATATTTCTTTCTATCCGACTTGATCATTGCATCAGGCATACAATGATCAAATCGAACTCGTCAGTTGGGCTTCGAGCTTTGCGGAGGAGAATCGTCCGTGACGGTAAACATTGCAATCTCGCTTTGCCGCAGCCCACCTTGTTTGGGAAGAAGCACCCTTCCAGGAGAGGGACTCTGATCGCGCACGTGCCTCTAACGGAGTCTAACCTATGGTGAAATTTTACGAGGAAAATCGCTCGAGTGTTTCTTGTAAACTGCGATACTCTGTTAAGTGGGCCTGACAGCAAGTGCCGGATCAGGATGCCTAAGTTTTTTGTCGTTTCGTTGCAGCTGCTGTTAGCGTTCCTGGTGCCGTCCTGCCCATCGCTATCGGAAAACGTCCACACCGTCATCGGAGGCAATGTTTCATCGGCGACATCGGCAGTTACAAGTGTAAACAAGTTTCCGTTATCGCTTGGCCACTCCTGGACTGGTCAGCAGGTGACCACTACGGTGCAGTTTTCGTTGGAACCCAACGAGTTTCCATCAAGAGCCACATCGACCTCAGCGCCACAGGGTAGAAAAGCGGCAGCATCCTTCAACTTCGCCAGAGCCACTTCGAGTTCAGCGCTCGTGGCTACCGGTTCGCACGGTTTTCTCGGGACGTGAAATTCTTTCTTTCTAGTCCAGTGGGCGGGGGTGTTTTTCGGAAAGTGGATAGGAAGTTCGTAGGCGTTGGCCACGGTGGGCGTCACCACCCCGTACGGGGGACAGCACCCTGTACAGCGGGTTCCGGCCTCCCAAACGATGTCCCACGCCGGCCAACTTCCGGACGGAGGAGCGACCCCCACGCCAGCAAAGCGACACCTGAGTGAGAGCAGCTCCGGCGAGTTCGCACACACAACATCAATGCTACAAGACGACGAAGGGGCCATGGACGGCAGCGTTCTCGGTAGCAAGGAGGACGGCGACTTCACAACAGTCAACAGAAAGAAAAAGAGGACTCGACACGAAGGATCTCAACGGAGCCAAGGTATCGTGAAACTTCCTAATACGGCACGCACCGTTCTGTTCGCGCCAACCGTTCCCGCCACGAATCTGAGGAAAATCAACCGCCAGCTGCTATCGGACGAACTGGAAGCACTGGCTCCCGGTCAGTTTAGCGAGGTACGAGTAAACACACGGAAAAACATAATAGCCACGGATGCGAGGACGGAGGCGGGGGTGCTAGAGCTCCTCATTCTGACCAAAATATGCGGGGTTCCTGTACGAGCTTTTCTCCCTCGCTCGAAGAACTCAAGAGTAGGGGTAATTTCGGACGTCGACACCGATATCACCGAAGACAGGCTGAGTAAGATAATCGGCAGCGGAGTGAGCGTCGTGCAAGTTAGGCGGCTAGGCAAAACGCAAGCAGTCAAGGTTGTGTTTGGGGGTGACACGCTTCCTGCCCACGTCAAGATTGGATTAGTAAGGCACAGCGTTAGGCCTTTCGTCCAGCGTCCCCTACAGTGCCGACAGTGCTTTCGCATCGGACACGTAGTGGCAACCTGTCCTAACAGCGCCATTTGTCCCAAATGCGCACAGGCTCATGGTGAAGAAAACTGCACTTCAGCACAGAAGTGCGTAAATTGTCAGCGAGCGCACGAAGCAACCTCAACGGAGTGCCCAAAGCTCCAAAAGGAGAAGGAGACCTGCAAGGTCAAGGTGCGAGAGAACATCACGTTCCTGGAAGCGGCCAAGGTAGTCGAGGAACAGCGAAAAATCAAAAGGCGCAACAATCAACATGTAGAGAAACCCGGAGCGGGCACCTCGCAGCCTAAAAGTCAGACCGCCGCGCAAGGCGTGGACCCTGGGGCACAAGGCAGTTCTAATCCGGCAGGGGCAGCAAAGGCCGATAACCTACACAACGGTGGCAGGGACAACCACGCTAGGGGTCTCACCTATCGCGATGTCACTCAGGGCTCCCCCCCCCCAAATCCGGCGGCGGATAGAAAAAAGCCACGTTACCATCCCGAGACACAGGGGATACTGTCAAAGCAAGGGACGTCAATCCCAGAGTCCGCTGAGCGGTCTACCGCGAGCAAATTTATCAGCTTGGTGTTCAATACAGTGCGCCGGCTCCTCGAGCTGTTGCCGCCATCGGAGTTCCGCACAACACTAAACAGTCTTCTCTTCCTGGAGGGCCTCCTTGGGGCTGTCTTCTAGATGGGCAGCACATAGAAGCAAGCAAAGTACGGGATGGCAGCACAAACCCCCAGAAGATACGCAATCACTCGAACGGCACCGACCGTCCTACAGTGGAATGCCAGAGGCCTCAACGCCAAGCACAGTGAGGTTAGCCTGCATCTGCAAAGCAACCCAAGCCCGGTGCTGGCATTGACGGAAGCGGGACTGCCGGGCAAAAGATCGCTACCTGGATACTTTAGACTAACGACACAGTCAATACCAGGATTTCCACATGGAAGCGCGGTATTATTTATACGGAAGGAAATACCGCATGTACAACTCGATACCAGCCAACTTTGCACGACCTCAGCAGAGTTCGTGGGAGCCAGGATGAGCATCGGGAACCGAACGTTCGCCATTCTTTTGGGATATGTACGACCAAATGGCACAGAACTGCCGAGCGAGGAAATTCTGGCATGGTGTAAGGACCGATCAGAGGAGTTGCTTATATGCGGCGACTTCAACGCACATAATGTGGCTTGGGGAAGTGCTCGAACAGACAAGAGGGGGGACGCCCTTATGACAGTAATAGAGCAGATGGGACTTGCGGTGGCGAATGATGGACGGCCGACGTTCTTCAGGCCTCCGAACTCGTACAGTGTTCTTGACGTGACAGCGCACTCGCCATCCCTGGAGATGAAGTGGGAGCTAGCCCCGGACACACGGGGAAGTGATCACTTCCCCATCCACATCACCATCAAGGGGTGTCAGGGGGCAAGGAAAGTCTTGCGTACGTGCACTAACTGGGACGTTTTTCGAGCAGCGCTGGATTTGAGCCAAGAAGAAATTCCAGCAGCTATAATTCAAGCGTTACAGAAGGCCACACGCACTACTTCCGTCACAGAATGGCTCCCAAAGCCGGACCTCACATTTTTAAACCTTCAAGCGGCACGAACCAGGGCGCAGAGGAGGTACCGCCGGACGGGAGAGCCCGAGGACAAGACCAGTTTCAACAGGGTTTCGGCCAAGCTGCGAAGACACGCAAAGGTGCTGGTCAGGAATCGATGGAAACTCATGTGCAAGAATGCCAACGCACACTCGTCCATGACTAAGCTGTGGACCGTCCTAGGGACAATGACTGGGAAAAGCCGTTCAAGACATACCCTGCAGGTCTTGGCGCTGGCGGCCAACGAAACACCAGAAGCAGCAGCGGAGAGTCTGTGCGCCCTGTACGCCCCGGCAGAGGCGGCGGGAAGACCTGGGGTACCAAACACCGCGTCGGGACCTCTGGATGCCCAGTTTACAGTCCAAGAACTGCAGTGCCCTTCGCAGATGTCGGAAGAAGAGCGCAGCCGGACCCGACGGAGTCCCGTACCAGGCACTCGCGAACCTCACCGAAGTGGCCCAAGATGCCCTGGTCAAATGGTTCAACGCTATATGGAACTCCGGGGACGTCCCAAACGAGTGGAAAAAAGCAATGGTGGTGCCTTTGCTCAAGGCAGGGAAACCGCCAGGAAAGGCAGAGTCATACCGCCCAGTTTCACTAACCTCGTGCATAAGCAAGTTATTCGAGAGGATGGTGCAAGCTCGGATATGCTGGTACCTAGAAGAACATCACTCTCTCCCGAACTGCATGACCGGTTTTAGGAGAGGGCTGGCAGCCCAAGACAGTATCCTGGACCTAACAAGTGATATTGAGGACAACAAGAACAGGCGGAGGAACACGATTGCGGTGTTCTTGGACGTGGAACGAGCTTACGACAGCGTGCCGCTCCCTACAGTCCTTAAGAGAATGACTGAGATCGGCCTGACCGGTAAAATTCAAAAGTTCCTGGCAAATTTTTTAACCGGGCGAAAAATTCAGATCAGGTCCGAAGGTACAGTGTCCTCGCCAAGGGTGCTGCACAGAGGGTTGCCACAGGGAAGCGTGTTGAGCCCGGTGCTCTTTAACATCGTGATGGCTACACTACCGAACGCCATCCCACCAACCGCACTCCCGGTACAAGTGTCTATCTATGCAGACGATGTGTGCCTCTGGGTGGCAGGAATATACACAACACAGATACACCGGAGCATACAAGACGCCACGCAAGCAGTAGACGAGTTTTTGGCTGAATCGGGGTTGTCCCTGTCAAAGAGCAAGACCGTCTGGATGCCGGTACGGGGGAATGGAAGAAGGTTTCAACCGCCAAGCATCGTGTTAGCGGGGGAGAACGTCACAAAGGTCACCAAGCAGAGGTTCCTGGGAATCGTCATCACAAGCAGGTTGAGATGGGCACAAGCCGTAAAAGCGACATCGGAAACATGCAGGCCTGCCATGAACGCTGTTCGCCGTATGACTGGAACCGCGTGGGGATGCACGGAGCGGACCATCACAGCTGCCCACACGGCGCTTGTAACGTCAAGGGTAATGTATAGACTCCCATACATGGCCCCATCTCGGACGGACCTGGAGAGGATGGAACAACGACATCGGCATGGACTACGAACAGCACTGGGGATTCCCAACGCTGCCAGGAACGACGCGGTCCTTCTGGAGGCGGGGACAGAGTCGCTCGCAAGACAGGCCAAAGGAAGGAGACTTCACCAGCTGGCGCGATTATCTATGACCCACCCGGGCAGATGGTTCCTACATCGAGTCCAGGCCCGGATGAAATCGCTATGGAGCGAGGCGGTAGAAGATTTCCACAATGTCACGGACCCACTACCGACGAGGACGGACGAAGCAAGGATGGCTCCATGGGACGTAATCAAGGTGTCCAGTGACGTAAGAATCAAGCACCTGCGTTCCAAGAAAGATAGGCCAGGCATCGCTATCAGAGCAGCAGTTGAAGCACACTTGGAAGAACACCATAGGGGAAAGCTTCGAATATACACGGACGGGTCCGTAAACAAAGCAAGAACCTCCAGCACTGCGGCCTACTGCATACCAGAGAAAGGCTGGGAGTGGGGCGGGAGACTTCAAACACCCACATCTTCCACGGTGGCCGAACTGGTGGCCATCGATAAAGCCCTCCAAGCTGCCACCCTATTGCCACCACAGGGAATGGTGGTGCTCACCGACTCGAGATGCGCCCTTCAGAAGATTGCGAATGCAGAGTGCGGGGACCCAGCAACGACCGCCGTAAGAAAGTCACTAGCATCGTTGGAAGCACGCGGATCCACAGCGTGGCTCCAGTGGATTCCAGGGCATGCGGGGATCGAAGGGAATGAACAGGCAGACAGGCTGGCCGCAGCTGCTCACTTGGAAATCCCGGCTGTCCCGTCACCGGCAAATCCGCAACAGGCTGCACTTGACGTCCGCTGGTACCTTTTAAATGCAAGTAACGAGCCGGCGCTGCCAAAAGGAGCCCTGTCTGGATTGTCACGGGCGGCAGAGACCCTGGTGCGACGCTTGCGCACAAACACGGCCAACACGAAGGCTTTTCTGGTCAAGATGGGAAAACGGCGGATGTCAGAATGCTCGCAATGCGACGAGGAAGAGACTGTGCACCACATTCTCCGCGTCTGCCCGGCATACGAAGCTCAACGAACGGTGCTGTATGAACAAATCGGCATGGATAATCCGGGAGCAACAGTCGATATCCTCTTCCCAGATGGACCTCGAAGGAAGTGCCAGAAAGTGTTCAAGGCGGTGCTGCGCTTCCTGCGGGATATTGGCTTGATCGACCGACTGTAGTTGTATCTAAAACATAACAAAAAAAAGTTTTTTTTTTTTTTTTTTTTTTTAACAGCTCTTTAAGAGCTCGTCACCTGCCCATGCCAGCTAATTGGGGCTAGGCTAACCTAGGTGACGTAAAACCTAAACGGCGCACCACCACCACCACCACCACCACAACTTCGCCAGTGGGCCTGACAGCAAGTGCCGGATCAGGATGCCTAAGTTTTTTGTCGTTTCGTTGCAGGTTAGTAAATTCAAATACTTTGAATTCAAAGGCAACTTTTTGTGTCTGTTTGTGCTGCCAGGCCCCAAGGCATGCTTTACGTTGTATCTTGAATTTCTAGAGCTGTTTAGCGTTGTTGATGCATATGTCCAAAGTGAGGGATTTGGGTTGTTTCTACTACTTGGTGGGGATATTGAAACCAAACCTGGACCCATGACCAAAGCGCAAGAGGAGTTACTCAACAAAGTTTATGAAATAGTTGTGACGCTTCAGACCGGGCAAACCGACATCCTCCAGGAAGTAAAAAACCTAAAGGCTAAGCAACATTCCACCGAGAAATCGCTGAGTAATCTCGCTGCACGCGTCGACCAGTTAGAGAGTGATATTTCTACGGTAAAATCAGTCAGCGTTAACAGCGACGTGGGCCCTTCCCCACAGATAGCCGCGGCTGCTAACGAGATATCGGAGCTCAGGGCACGCTGCGATGACGCGGAGAGCAGAACGCGCAGATCAAATCTTCTTTTTTTTGGCTTCCCCGATAAGGATAAGGAAACATGGGCGCAGTCGGAAAAGACTGTTGTAGACGAGTGCCTCGACAAGTTAGGAGTTGTTCTTGCACCGTCGTGTATCGAAAGGGCGCATCGTCTCGGTATGTTTTCACAGCAAAAGTGTCGCCCAATAATTGTAAAAATGTTTTCATACAAAGATAAAGAGGCCGTACTTTCTAAGGCCTACAAATTCAAAGGAACATCATTTTCCGTGAGTGAGGATTTCATACCATCAGTGCGACTTGCGCGGCGAAAGCTATTAGAATTTGCAAGACCACAAGATATACCTTTCAAGCTGCGCTTCGACAAACTGCTGATTGGAAATAAGTGCTATATCTATGTACCTCAAACAGACTGTGTCAGTGAACTGAACTCCCACGGGCCAGAACAGAATTTACCTAGACGTAACGCCGAAATTACAAACCGTGCTTCCGCTCAGCCAGAACGTGACATCGTAAATCCTAATCAAGCTTCAGCTTCGTCATAACGTTCAAGGAGGGGTGAGGCTGCTACTACCAATACTTTGCCTAATAATAATATTTCTGTTCTTTTTACGAACATTAGAAGCATTATGAATAAACGGGACGATCTGTCATCAGTTGTGGACTCTTCTAACGCGGATGTTGTCGTGTTAAGCGAGACATGGTTGTCCAGTAAGATACGCAACTGTGAAATTTTGCACTGTCAGAGACGTTTCAACTTCTATCGTCACGACAGGGAAGAAAGAAAGGGTGGCGGGGTGTTGGTCGCGGTAGCAGAAAATGTACCATCGTTTTCTATCAATATTGTTTCTGAACTCGAGCTGCTATGGGTTGGTCTCCAGTTAAAAAATAAAAAATACATTTTAGGCGTGTGTTATCGCCCTTCTTCTAGCAATACTGCGTTTATAACGAATCTGCACGATGCGATCAACTCAGTCATTGTTCGTTTCCCGAATGCACCGATACTACTGTAGGGTGATTTCAACTACCCATCTATAATATGGTCAGACGAGGGTGCAAACCTTAGTCACTTCTCTTCTGAATGTAGTGAGTTTTTGAATCTTTGTTTAGATTTCAATTTCTCTCAAACTGTTACAAAACCGACGCGTACGACTACAACAACTGCTGCTGTGCTTGATCTCATATTAACAACATCGCCTGAGCTGATCTCCTCGTTAACTTACATGCCTGGTCTCAGTGATCATTCCCTACTACACTTTTTTTTTTAACATTCCTGGACGCAGTAAGTCCAATCAGACGAAAACATTTTTGGACTATGCTAGGGCTGATTTTAATTCAATCAACAACGAACTTTGCCATTTTCTAGAGGACTACATGGGTTGTTTTGCTGAGCGCTCAGTTGATGATAACTGGTGTTTATTTAAAGAGAAAGTTATGTCACTCATGAACGCCCATGTTCCCCTTCGCGTGGTATCTTCTTCACCAGAATCTCCATGGTACAGCGTGACATTAAAAAAGCTGTCAAATAAAAAGAAACGATTATTTCGCACTGCAAAGCTATCGGACCATGTACAACGCTGGGAGGCCTACCATGTTGCAGCTAACGTATATAAGAAAGCAGTCGAAGAGGCAAAATTACATTACTTTAACAATACGCTGCCGTCAATGTTGCTTAACAATCCGCGTCAATTCTGGAAAGTTATTAACCCTCCTTCTAGTACTGGCATAGTGCTTAGGGACACCCATGGAGAGGAGGTGCCAAGTGAAGTGTGTTCTTTTTTGTTAAATGATGTGTTTGTTGGATCTTTTTCATGCACGGTAACCTCAGATTGTCCTGTATTTAGAACTTATGATTTTTCGCCCATGTTTCCTGTTATTGTAAACTGTGAAGGTGTATCTAATATTATTGAAAACCTTAAAACCAATACGACCGCAGGCATTGATAATATTAATGCTAAGTTTTTGAAAAACACTAATACGTACTCATGCGTTATCTTATATAAATTATTTTCGCAGTCACTCGAACAAGGAGAATTGCCAAAAGATTGGAAGGTGGGGAAGGTGATCCCTTTCCACAAAGGTGGCGATAAGCATAACCCTTTAAACTTTCGTCCCATTTCTTTAACGAGCATTCCTTGTAAAATCCTTGAGCACATCATTTACACTAACATTTTCAATTTTCTAGATTCAAATTCGTTTTTTAACTCAGCGCAACATGGATTTCGAAGGTTTTATTCATGTGAAACTCAACTCCTAACCTTTACTCATGACCTTCACGTAATACTTGACCGGGTTCCAGGACTGACTGCATATTTCTTGATTTCTCAAAAGCTTTCGACAAGGTTCCTCACGCGCTGCTTCTTCATAAACTCCGTAAACTTAACATAGACCTAAAATATAATCGCTTGGATAGAATCGTTTCTATCAGACCGTTACCAATTTGTTCACGCTAACGGAACTAATTCTTCAACTTCACCTGTCAAGTCCGGTGTCCCACAAGGTTCCGTATTAGGTCCACTTCTATTTCTTATATATATTAACGATCTTCCCACGCATGTATCTTCTTCTATTAGCCTATTCGCTGATGACTGTGTAATTTATAAGGAAATCATTAACGACTCTGACATATCTGCTCTTCAGACCGATATTAACAACGTCACCCGCTGGTGCGATAATTGGCTTATGGAACTTAACACCTTTAAATGTAAATCTATGAGAGTGTCCCGTCAAAATAACACTTGTCCCTCCTACTGTATTAATAACTCCACCTTGCTTTCTGTGTCTACCTATAAATATCTCGGTGTTCATATAACCAACGATCTCTCCTAGAACATCCATGTCGACTATATCACTAACAACGCTAATCGCTTATTAGGCTATCTCAGAAGAAACTTTTCCCTTGCCCCTGTTTCACTTAAACTTCTCCTATATAAAACTTTAGTGCGCACCAAACTTGAGTATGCAGGCTCTATCTGGAACCCTGGCGTATCCCTAGCATCATCCATTGAATCCATTCAAAATCGCTCCGCACGTTTTATACTTTCTAACTATCACCGTACCGCCAGCGTCACCTCCATGAAAGCGTCTCTACATTTGCCCAATCTCTCCTTTCGTAGAAAAATAGCTCGCCTCTGCTTATTTCACAAAATTTATCACTCTAACCCAGCACTTCGAGCCTCATTAATTTCAGAACCATCATACATATCGCCGCGCACCGATCATCCACTAAAAGTAGGAATCCCCTACTGCATCACTTCCACCTTTTATGCCTCCTTCCTACCTCTGACCTCCGTCGACTGGAACCGCCTTCCCGCATCCGTAGTCTCACTTACTGACGCTGCTGATTTTAAAACCGCCATAACTGATGTTCTTAACAATGTTCCATAGCGATTCTGTACCTTGTGTTTTGTTTGTTTTTTGCGTTTTGTTTTTATTGTTCACCTTATATTGATGTATATATTTCCACTCCTCTCTGTAATGCCTTCGGGCCCTGAGAGTATAATAAATGAAATGAAATGAAATGAAAGTCGCGTGCATTGGTGGTCGTGAATTCGTTTCTCAAGTCGGGCCTTTTATGGCAGCTTAGTCTTTTTTAATCATTTCTTTCACAATTCGTTAGATTATGTTCAGCTTTCGAAAACGGTCCTTCGCGGGAAAGCTTCGTAATGTCAGAATTCTCCCGAACAAGGAACACTACTCTAGATAAGTGATAAACAGAATGCGCATAGGAAAGGTACAACATCTAATAGTTTCAAAATACCGAAACATTAGTTCATCTTTTAACACTTCTTAAGTTCGTGCTAAACTCGTACAACGAAACAAAAATTGGGTTGTGTGTATGTTTATACGGCCTGAAGTTAGTCTGTAAGACATACAATCTTGCATGCGTCTACGCTACCCGCAAGCAAACTGCTCGCAAAATCGATGCTTAAACGCAGATCTTCATTTCGATCTACAACCGTTGTTTATGTTGTTGTAACTTGTTTATTTACCCCCCAGAGCAGCTGTTCACCGTTTACCACAACACACAAAAATCTCCAAGTAGAAGTTGCAGTAACTCGGCGTGATATGACCTTTTCTTGGACTCGTCACTCTCGCGCCATGCTGTTTATGACTGGGTTGAGAGCGCCTCTCCGCGGAGAGACGCCGCCTCCTGTTTTTCTTTTCAATTACGCCCTGTCCGCTCGAATGGGACGGCCGGAAAGCGTTCGTGTGGTTCGCGCGCTTCGGGATTTCGGAGGCTATGGCCCATGAGGAACCGGTGGCAGAACGACCGTCCTTTGGTTTCCTTCCACAAGGTGGCGCCACACCCCGCGGCGGCGGCGGCCCCCTCTCAATACGACTTCCGCAAGCCCGTCGAGTATCGCCCGTTCCCTGGGGTCACCGCGTCACCATCATCATCATCGTTTGTGACGTAGCGAGTAGGAGAGAGCAGACGACGGCA